GAAGATCCGTTAAAACTTTAATCATAGATCACCGTTCACCCGATTAACTTGTTTCATATAGATTTTATTGTTGATATCCACCTACCTGAACAATGGCCATACCTCTATTAACTGCGATCAAAGATATTGCGGGGGACCTCTGAGTATCAAACGAGGAATCCGACGGAATTCTGTGGACCTGGTCACGTATCGCATCATCGATCTCGGCTGAGCGGTAAGCGCGGGAGCGGATCGTCGTAACGGAATTTACGAGGGAAGCCACGAAAACGGGAAAGGTGGCGAGATAAGAGAACTCGCGGATGGTTCCGGAATCACGTCATAGGTCACGGTGCGAGTAATTCATGTAGTAACTCGAAACGACGAACCCGGAGCTGACCGTTGCTATAAGGCTCGGGCTTATGTTACATCTATTCTTTTCTCCATCTTTCTTTCTTCTTTTCCGTTCGGTCTTCTCCGGTCCGAAAGAGTCTTCAGGAAGCTTCCCCCCTCGCTCATGCCGCGAAAGAAGCGTCAGGGAATACCGTGGCAGCTAACAATAACAACAAGGACCATCAGCGACGTCGCATGTACTACCGGGCAGGATCGGTTACTTAGGATTACCTCTTGGATTGCCCACTCGTGTAAAGGATATCTTCACGAAATGGCCCCGACAACGAGAGAAACCGGATAGAATAGGTAGCGCGATTCTCATCGCGCGGAGAGTCCACGGAGTTCCAGATGAAATGAGGAAGGAGAAACCTCTCGTACGTTCTCTCGTTGGACATCACGTTGGAATAAAGGGCGCTCTCATGAAAGCGCGTGGAAACGATGTGACGCGACACAACGCGATCGGCGAGAGAGAAGCGCCGATCTTACAAACGAATGCACACACGACGTGAGTCAAGGATTTTTTTCTCTCTCATTCTCTTTCTCCTAGTGCGCTCCTCGCTCGCAACCTCCGCGCTCGAGTTCCCGGGTGAATGCAAATAAGACAGGCCGTGCATCGGTTAGCCACCGGGGAAGAGAACTATTGCGAATTCATCTTCCCGTATCCGGGCACCGTCGTTTTCCACAATGAGCGACGATATCGCCGGGTATTACTCGGCCCTTTTCCGCGAGGGCGATGCCACTGACGGGCATCTCGCGTCATCCAACCTCATCCGGCCGCCGTTGCGTTGCGCGGCTTTTTACGCGAAAATCGCGCCGCATCATCGTAAAAGAAGAGCGGTCGGCGCGGCTGATTTCCGTGGTTACGCACTTACGTCTGTCCGGCACGAGATGGTAATTGAGTCGTTAGCCGGAACGACGATGTAAGTCATGTTTTGCTTGCGTAATAACAGAATCTATGCGAGCACTTAACGTTAAAATCCAGCTACTTCTGTTTAGTAAGTCTCACGAAAGATGTAGAATTCTACGGGGAGCAAAAGCGCGATTACGCGATCCTCGCGTAACTAAAATCACCGTAACTTTCCCGGTTAATTCCAATTCAATAGCCATTCATCGATAACTTACGATTACGATCGCCCGTTATCACCCTCCGCAAGCGCCCGGGGTATTTCTCGGCGCACCCACACCGGTCACATTATCTCGCGTCGAGACATCGCACGCGACCGATAATTCTCGGAATAATTGAAAAACGATGGAACATCGCGCGTACCGTTTTCGCGCGCGCGTGTCCGCTCGGCTGGCTCACAAACATGTAAAATCCGCTCGCGCGAGAGATCGAGAAAGTAGCGATCGAAGCGGTTCTTTCGCATAGTCCCGCGTCCACGCCACCGTCCTCGGGAGCTTTATGGCTCATGAATGAAACATGGGCCTAACCGTACATCCGCGAGGCTTACGTGTTGCAACGGTGATTTAATGTATGCCGCGATCGCGAAAAAAATGGCGAACCGATAAATGGAATTAAGGCGGAGAGCCGACGGTGTTGTTGTCTCCGTCGCGCCGTCGCGATATCAGGACGGAGAGAACGACAACAACCAGGAGCGGCTGCGACACGAATCGCCAATATCACGATGATGCTAAGAGCTTTTGCAATTTCACGCGCAGACACGTTGCCCTTGCCAAATAGAGCGAGAATCGAGCGAATGAATCACAAATGACTTGCGAACGAGTCGTGTGTATTAAATAAAAAAAAATAAAATAAAAAAAAAATAATAAAAAAAATGATCCAGTTAAAGGCGGAGAGTGCAAAGTAATTCAGCTTTTAAATAACGCTTCAAGCAAAAGTTAATAATAGTGCGATATAATTGCTTTGTATGCATTGCCCGTCAATAGTTTTTTTCTTTCTATATAAGTAGGAGGAGAGACGTTACGGAGGGAAATAACCGTAACGAAGTAATTCTTCGACACGTTAGCGTCTCGGATGCCTTCCAGTCAATCGATTCACGTGACAACGAAGGTACGGGGTGAATTAGGTACAAGGACCGATAGGGCCCACCCGGCTGACCTCTCGTCTTCGTCGGAAGCGAGTGTCCCTGTCGTAAAGAGCGCGGCCGGGGCTCTCTCCCGCCTCGGCCCGTTTAACCGCTTAATGGCGGGTCAAGCGGCAATAACGCCGCCAAATAATCATAAAAAGGCGGCTCTGGTAGCAAATGCAGAACCTCCTGTTGCGTTCGTAGCGCAACTGTAGCGTCACATTAACGTCTTCGGTGGCGACGACGTATCTTGCCGAATCTTCGTGGGGGTCTTCCTCAGAAGAATATCTCCAAAATAATTCTTTCTCGATTTGCAAGATAAATATGACAAAAAAAAAAAAAAATATTACAACTAATGACAGATTGCAAAAATCTAGTTTCCTGTGTGCTTTTACTGTTCCGATCTGCTTGAACTGTTATTTATTTTGTGTTAATAAAAGATATTTGAAAAAATTGTGCAATGCAAAGCGACTATAAAAATAAATGCAACATTTACATATCTAGTTTTGTTTACAATGTAAAATGAAAGAAAGGCTCGTTGAAAATTTATGGATTCGAGTGGACTTCGATTTAACGCAGTTTCGTTTTACAGATCTCTTCCGTTATCGCCGTTATCATCTATCGCCAACGAGGAGCGAGCGAGGGAGGCGAGGAATAGGCGAAGCGATTCATCGGGAGGAAACGAAGCGTGGCCGCGGTTGCAGCACGCGGTGGGCCAGGAAAATCACGCTCGACCTCCGGCCCTGACCCACGGAGTCCCGCAGTAGCAAAGACGCCAGACTAAAGACGAGATCTTGACTGTGCCCTTCGGTGGCGGCGCGATGAACATTCACATTGACCACTAGCCAAGGCATGCGAGATAACTTCGTGCGAATTAACTCTTTTAAATGCTACGTCTGGCACATCAATTTTCGTCAAATTTGAACATTAGATAAAATTCTATCTCAATATAATCAGTGTCGCGTTAAAATAAAATTCAGAAATAACAAATACTTTGCAAAGATTAGATATAATAGCCTACCACACAAAGTATTCCATAAACAGCTACGGGACTCAAGGGTTAATAAATAACGATATTTCGGATTCAGCGGAATAGAACGCACGAACTTGCGGAAGGATCACGGCATCGACCTCCCGGCATCGACTCATCGCGCATCTCGTCTAAGCGGAAAGCGGACAGAGCCGAGGTACGATGGCTCGCGTTCGATGTCTCGTATGCGTTCGTGAGCGCGATGCGTAATGACCGTGAAGCAGCACGGATTCTTCGGAGGAAAGAGACGGCGAACGAGATAGGAGGCACGGGAGAGAGAAGCCGAGAAAGAGAAAAAACCCTCCGGGGTTGTGTCTCGGCGCAACTGCCCCCGATGATCGATTTAATAAGCATATCGCGAAACTCTATGATTACGAAAGCTCGCGAAAGCGTCGGAAAGCACGAGGATGATCTTTATTTCCAATTGGATTCACGGCGGATCGAGCGGGCCCCTCTTAATTGACGGAGAATCGAACGGGGAAGAGGTGGGTGGGTTTTGGGGAGGGACCCGCGCTCGCATGGGAATTACTTTTAATAAGGATCCTTGTGCTTCGTGGCGCATACAGCGCCTCCTCCTTCTCCTCCTCCTTCCTCGCCTTTCAATCTCCACCAGGTCTTCACGTACGTGACGTGTATATATCGATTAACAAGACTCGAGTACAAAGGGCGAGTCTCGAAGTGAGTCCACTTATAAGTATAACCCGACAGTTTTTATGCGGATAACTAACGTACATTTACATCGATCGGCGCGACATTGACGAAAAGAAGCCGCATACAATTGCAAGTCATTGTCGACAAAAGATTAAGCTTCTTCTCTCGCAATAAAGAACAATGAAACAATCCGTATGATCCGTATGACATTCGAAGAAAGGAGACTTCCGTCGAAAATATCGTGCCTGCCGCCGTTGCCACCCTCCTCTCCGCGAAAACAGACAGACAGACGAACCAGTCCTCAAAGGGGTAGCTATATAATCATAATTTAGCCGTAATTACATTTATGACCCACTTTGCCCTCGTAAATTGTCTACGAAGATCGGAAGGGCTCTGGTCGTTGTTATTACGCGCCTCGGACGATCCGGCCGCTCCTCTTCTCTTTTATTTGTCTCCTCTTTCTCTATCTTCCTCATCTTTACCAACTTTTATCAACTTCAGCTCCTCTCTTCCTCATCGTCATCGTCGTCGTCGTCGTCGTCGTCGTCGTTGTCGTCATCGTCGTCGTCGTCGTCGTCATCTCCGTCATTCCTCGTCGTTTTCGTCTTCGTTCTCTTTTCGGCCGTGCGCGGTTATTAAGATCGTGATTGGAAGAGGCGAACGGGCTGGTTCGTCAGGTGGAATGGGTTCAGCCACCCTGACTAATCGAGAGTAGTGATAATCCAGGTTCGAAGGAAACGATGGATTCCAGGTATCCGTCTCTTTCTGGAAGGAAGACCAATATTCTCCCCAAAATTAGTCCTCGGAACTTATTTGCGGAGGTATCGCATTAACCTCCGGGCGCTTTAATTTTAGAGCATTTCGTCGGTTAATTGAGAGCCTCCACGATTTCTTCTCACCGCGATGTACACGAAAGAGCACCAAAATGGATGGCAGTCGATCGGTTTTCTTTCAAGCAACGGGATGGACGCGCGTATCAAATCCGACCACATTGACGCGACACGTATGTAATTACCTGTCTCTTATTTTAAAGATTTATATCGTAATAAATAATTGGAGTAATACAACTTTGTATGATTACTATCACGTGCATTCGAATATTTTAAACAATACGTGAATGAAACCGCCCTCTTTTTCAATTAATAATCCAGTTTATTTCTACCTTTCAATTCGATATATCGTAAAAAGAAGTATATCGATTACGTCGGTGTGCTTTCACGCTATAATAAAATTAAATGAAAATTAACCGTATTGCATCTGAATCGGTCCATTTATTTCGTACATTTTACCCGAACTCATTCGAGGAAGGCCGTAACGAAAAAAAAAAAAAAAAAAAAAAAACAATGAACGCCTTTATAATGATTGACAAGCACTTTGATAGAGAAAAGCTGACGTGAATGAAGGTGTTTGCGAATTCTTGGTGGCTTGTCGGTCGAGACGATCAAGGGAGCGGAAGTCGCGCGACTTGAGAGTTAATAAGATTCGGGAATCATGTCGGGAGGGGCGGGTGGTCGAGATAAGGTAATCGGCGATCGATTTCGCTGCCGGCGAATTCGTCGAGCGTGCCGGAAACGGTGGGGGACTGCTTTTCGCGGAGGGCGAAAGAAAGAGCGGCGGAGAGGAGGGGAGTGGACGCATTCCTGCCGCGATGAGACGCGGTCCCATTGGCTCCTGAGATGGCGGAGCGTCACACCGGTTGGCCGCCTTAATAATATGGTACGGCAGCGCAGGCAGCACCGAGGACTACCACTCTGCTCGCCTGCCTACCTCTGCCTCCTTCGGCGTTTCATGTCTTACCCACCGGGGTACGGTTGTACCCCATACCCAGCAACCACTCGATCGTTACGTTACCCCCACGTAGCGTTATGCTTCCGCGATACCGGATGACCGAAATCTTCTCATCAACACGATCGAGACCATGAAGAGGGCCGTGTCCGAGAGCTCGGAAACATCCAAAATGCGAAACTCGATATAAAAACTTGGAACGGTTCTAGAGCGATTATTAAAAAAAATTTGTTACAATAAAACCACGGTTGATTACCGTTGATATTATAATAAATAAATATAAATGGAATATAAAAATATATCACAATTATGAGATTAATAAAGCTGTTACCGCTCGAACATTTCGAATACTTTTCGTCTGCTGCTGTGACATAACGCGCACATTGGAACGAAATCACCCATACATGGTGGTGATCGAGCACCGACTGCTAACACCAGTATAAAAAGCGGTATAAATCATAGTCAACGCAGAGGCGGCGTATCCCCTCACGCCGATTCTTCATTCCAAGGATATTCCCGCTAATAGCGGCGGAATACCGCGGCGCACGACGATCTTTTTCAGCCCGGGACAATTAAGCACGGGAAGAAGCCACGAGCCGGCCACGTTTCGCCTCTCACCGAGATGTCTTCGATGTTAACGCGATCGTATATCGATGGCGGTTGAAAAAGCGCGAGCGAGAGCGTTTAGGTAGCTCTCTCGCCTCTCGAGAGTTCTCGAGCGCCGAAGGACGCATTCGCGCAAATTTTAGTAGTCGGGCTTATGATTACTTCGCGCATAACCTGCCATTATGTATATTACCGTCTCTCGCGCATTTCGTCCGTGGGCTTCCGATGCTGCTTGCTCAGGGAAAGAGAGAGAGAGAGAGAGAGAGGGAGGGAGAAAGCGAGGGCCCAGTGAGCATACGCGAGAGGGTATATACAAGCGCTGAGTATACATTTGGTTGGACGGAGGCATAAATAATACGGTCTCGCCGGGGGCCAATCTTACGGTAGTAGACACGCCGAGGTAGCCGCGGTACGATGATTAAAACTTGCTCATAGTTATGATCGATCCGTGCGTTATATCGTCGCGCGTATACGTGTCATTATTCTACCGCGGGTGTTCTCTACGCGCTCTTTACGAGCTGTCGAAATATCATCTCATTGAGACGGAAATCGTACGCAATAAATTATTTTTTTTTTTCCTTTATAAGTAAAAACTGTGTCCGTTATATGAGACCAGCTATGAGTGAGAAGCTATAAGAATTCATTTTTTTTTTGTATTTTTTTTTGTATTGCTCTCCGCTCTGATCGTCAAGTTTCTCTTGATCTCTGTTCGCGAAATCGTTACGTAAGCGTTGTAATGCTTGGAGAAAAACGCGACGCAAGAATCTTTCTCTTCTATTGTTTATTGAAATTCGTGCGCATCGATTTTTGCCATCATTTAAGCGGACTTGATTGCGAGATAGTGAGAAGCCGACCGGAAAGGCAGGACTTGAGAGAGAGAGAGAGAGAGAAAATAAAATTCGCCAGACTTCGGTTTCGAAACAATTACGCTATGCTCGAACGCGCCCGATGGCTACGACGATCGCTTCGCATATACGTCTTTTGCCCAATGGCGGCCGTGTGACCGTAAAAAAAGACCAGATCGCAAAAAGCCAACGCGACACAAAGGTCCTCGTTCACCTCCGGTTAACCGGTGTTCTTCTTTTTTCGAAGTATATCTCTTACCCGCCGCCATCGCGGTACTTGTGGTTCGATTCCACTGTCGGAAGAGTATCATTCTTTCCACTTCATTTCTGACGAAGATCATCGTGCTTCGTGCTTCTTTGCTCTCGTATCGGGCTGCGAGCTCGTAATCGGCACCCTCCGAGCGCTACGAGCCATCGAGACAAAATTACAGAACGCCACGCGTGAAATGAGCGCGGATAGCGAATGATTACAGCGACTCGGACGTTGCGGAACGTTAAGTATCCCTTGACGCGTATGTCTACACCGTCAATATATTGCAAAATCGCGCGAGACTAAGACCGAACAATTAATCGTTAATGACAGCTTCGACTTAGCGCGCATAAAGGAATCCAAATAAATAAACGGATCGGGGACAACTCGCGCTCGCGACGTTTACAAAAGCATAATGAAGTGGTCATAAATGTCGTAAGCATTTTTCCGCTAACCGATAATCGCGAACGGCAAATATCTCGCCGCTTCGACGACGTCTCTGCAGCCTTTACCGCAACCACGCGCGACAAATAAGCATGCCGACGTTGCAGGACTATCAATCGCACGCGTGCGCGTGCGCGCGCGCGCGCGAATGTCTTGGCGCGCACCACGTTACGATTTCATCTCGCGTCGAGCGATCCTTATAGCGAGTGTGTTCACGCGGAATGTTGGCGACAGCTCTGTCTCTTTTCAGGTAGCGCAACGGACGTACGACAACAGTCGCCGTGATTTCCTCTTGTCAGTCGTCGGATAACAACATTGCGGGGAAGCAAATCTGATGCGAGGAAACTGACCTCCTATGCTCGCGATCGCTCGAATGCAC